CCGACATTTCCCACAACATGGGCTGTAGCTTTTGTTTGGTGTAACTTTGAGTGAGGAATGAGAAGAGACAGAAGCAGATATACCCTGTTTCCCCGAAAATAAGACATCCTCCGAAAATAAGGCCTACTTACAGTTTTGCCTCTCGTTGTAATATAAGGCATCCCCCCGATAATAAGACCTCCCCGATAATAAGGCATCCACCGATAATAAGGCATTTTTCATTTCTGAAAAATAAGACATCCCCTGAAAATAAGACCTAGCGCATCTTTGGGAGCAAAAATTAATATAAGACACTGTCTTATTTTCGGGGAAACAGGGTAGCTACCACCTCTCAAAGAGGTGGATTAACTACATTGATGGAAAAACTCCTTCTGTTGATAAAGGAAGTGTCTACACTGTAGCGCCACAGTATTACAACTTCACCATATTATCTGTGCCGCTGAGTGTAGGCATACCCAAAGCCATGAACTTTTCAAGAACTTACTACTCAGGATTCTCCAAGAGTTGCATCTCCATTGGATATGGAGGTAGGATTCTTCTTCATTAAAGATCTTTCCTTTCCCTCAAAAAGGATGACTAGCAATAGACAAGGGAGTACTTTTTGGGGCTAGAGTTATGATTTTTCCTCAGAGAACTAATGAATTAAAAGATCCAGATAGGTACAAATGAAAAAGATGTCATCAGTGGTGATTAATATAATAAAAATGCCCATTCCTATTCTTCATGGTATCACATATTTCTGTGTTTTGGCAGAATTGCAGTCATTGTAAGTGTGGTGAGTGGAGACGAATGGAAAGTCATTGGTTCCCATTGTCCTTGTCTAATCCATTTAGAGGCCTGCAACATACAGTATATACTCAATCATAAGCCAGTTCGTTTATAAGCCGATCCCCCCCCCCCCCGAATAAGTAAAAATGGCAATTTTTTATGACCCATTCATAAGTCGACCCTATAATTCAGGGGTCAGCAAACTTTGGCTCCTGGCCCATCAGGATAAGCCGCTGGCAGGCCAAGATGATTTGTTTACCTCGAGTATCCACAGGCACAGAGGTAAACCTAAGTAAACAAAATGTCCTGGCCTGCCAGTGGCTTACCCTGATGGGCCGGGACAGCAACTGGTGAGGAAATTTTTTTTTGGAGCAGGGGGAGAAGCTGAGGGTCAGGGGATTAACCCCTGTGACCACCCCCCACATGACCCCACCCCTAACCTAGGACATCCCCACATGACCCCTCCCCTGTGTAGTCCCTCCCAGCAGCACCCCTAGCCCGGGACCCCCCTCACTTTCCCCATACCCTGTCTTCCCACCTTACCTGGGGTGGGCCAGGGGAGGATGTCTCTGGCCTGGCCGCAGCATGGTCGGGCCGGGCGGCATGGCTGCAGCCTGCCAGCCCGCCAGCCCTGGAGCTGCAGCTGCTTCAGAGGCTGGAGGGGGGAACAGCGTGGCGAGAAGCGGAGAGACTCTGGCCCCGCCTCTTCCTTTCTGGCTCTGCTGGCTGTGCTGCCTCTCCTTGCCTCCTCTGTTGTGGGGGAGGGGCTGTGTCCCACCTCTCCTCCTCTCTATACCCGTTCATAAGCCGACCCTCTTCTCTGATGCTTCCCTTTTTTACTAAAAAAATTCAGCTTATGAATGAGTATATACGGTAATTTGTGGATGCTCCTGCACATCCACCAAAGCAATAGAATATCAGCAGGTTAGGAAATATTATTCAAGTTTTAAGACTAGTATCAAAAGAGAAGGTGGAGCAGAAACACTTTTTTGGTAGTGTTTGAAAGGAAAACTATATTTTGCACTGTGATTACAAATACTTTATGCACATCAATAGTTGCTCTACATTCAATGGGACTACTCCTGTCTGTAAAGTTTCTCATGTGCATAAGGGTTTGCAGGATGGAGGCCTAAATTTTGTTGCAGCTGTACAGCACCTGGCAGCCAAGCAATTTAACAAAGAACCTTTCCTGTTAAAGCTTAGGAGACCAAGTTTGGGAATGTGATTTAAAAAATGGAGTCAATCTGGTATAGACCAGAAGCTCGGTTGTGGGAGAAACCAGTTTCTCTCACACAGAGGGGGCTCTCTTGTTGTCATAGCCTGTGGAACTGTGTTCCCCTAGTGTTGGGCATATGGAACAGCTCAGGACTAGCAGAGGTTGGGAGTGGGAGTGTTCCATTTGGAACACTAATTGGAACATTAATGTAGCCAAATCTTTAAGTTGTGTTCTTTTACCAAAATAAGTGCTCATGGTGGCTATTGTCCATCACTCTCTGGCAATGACAGTGAGCAAATATTTGAAAAGTAGAACTTCATTCTCTTTATTCATGCACATATTTGATGATGATTGTATCTTTGGCAAATGTTTCAATCCCAGTAATGATGACAATTAAAGAATTGAAAACTTAAAATATAAAATGATTATAAGCTATTTAAATATATTGGACCAACTCTTTGTGCTGCTCTGGTGACGCACAGGTTTTACTGTCTAAAACCATTTTAACTATCTGCCTTGGTATTCCTTCTGCTTAGAGGAAATCCTATACAATGTAAAGCTAACAGTGCATGTGCTCCACCAATCCCTAGGCAGTCCCTAGTATAGTAGTAGAAAAAGGAGCCAATAAACATGGTTGTGCTATATAATTTGCACCTGCAGAATGTGGTCATGCAGTGGGAGCAACTTACAGCAGTCCTTAAGCGTAAAGCTCCTTCAACTTCCACCTCTAGGTCTTGTTCTGTACATCTTGGCCAACACTCAAGAATCAAGCCAAATCTATATTGTTTGCTCTTTATAAGGGTGCAGTATTGTTTTCCAAGAAGATGCTGCATTGCTGTATCAAAGACTACGTGAGAATTGTGTATCTGTGAGTTAGTACTTAGTACTTTGTGATTTCTTGACTCATTTCACAGTAGACTACCAAGCAGCCATTTCAGTTTCATACCCAAGGACATGAAAAATTGTAAATATATGTAATGCGGAGTTTAATTTGGAGCTAAGAACAATTTTTATTATTAGCTCTTTGAATGTACTATTGTACCATACTCTTCCATTTATGGAATGTCTGTTCAAGAGAGGCGAAGTGATGACCTTAAAAAAATGTAAGGTGATATGTAGATACTGTTATGCACAGTTAAAGGTCACCTTGACTTTTAATCTTGACTGCCATACTTTTCCTCTCATTAAAATATTTGACAAGAATTCCTTGCATGAGTGAACATCACAGAACACCTTAAGACTACTCAGTTTTCACTAAAGATGTAAATAATTGTTCTGTCAGCTAAAAATTATTATCTATGTTACACATACATTAACAAATAAAACTTACGTTTTTACATAGTTATATTTTCTTGAAGAGCATGGATTACACTGCATTGTTGAACATATTTCTTAGATTTTTGTCTGTTGACTATAAAATAGTGTCTATTAGGTTTTCTTCCAACATTTGGAATCCAAAAAATTGAGCATGTTTGTTCATAATTGATTGTAAATTGTCAGTTCCTATTGTCAAATTTCTATTCCTAATTTCTCTTATCAAAAGCTAATTAACTAATTTTTCCTAAACATCTGTCTAAAAACCTACTGGTCTAATATCTTTTATAAGGAAGAACCTAAAAATACAAGGAAATTTTAATATGGAAGGTTTGTTATTTTCTATACCCAGATGTCATTCTGAAATAGAACAAATTCAAGTTTAACTGTCATGAAATTTGACACCATAAATTTTATACTGCTGAATAATAAGCCAAAATGGAAATCCCTATGCATAATTCAAAAAGTCTTGTAACTTGACCTTTACCTAAAAGAAATGATTATATGTAAAAAGGGCCTTGTGAATTAAGAATGTAATTCTTTTCACCTTCTGTAGCTTTTAGGGATGCTATAGGCACTGGGGTTTTCCCCCCCCTACTTAACAGAATGTTGTTTCCAGGGCTAGATTGTGAGGATTTACAACAGTGGGACTGAAGGAAAATAGGTCAGAATGTGATTGCTTTGTCTACCCTTCCTTTGAATGTAATGTGTATTTGCAGAAAAAGGTATTATTGTTATAGTATTATGTACTTTTGCTTAGAGATCATTAGCACATTTTGGAAATCTGAATAATTTACACCAGTGACCGGGAAAAATCCAATGTAGACTATCAGATGTTGCAAATTAGATGTAAGGGTCCAATCCTGCAAATTGGTGAGCACAACTGTTATGTTCTGAGAGCCCTCAACTCCCATTGAAGTTAGAGGAAGCCGAAGGTGCACAGCACTGCTCAGAATTTTGCTTTGTGCATAAAAAGATTTATCTCACAATGTATTTTGGGTGCATTTATATACTTAAGAAACTCATTGCAGTACACTGCGTATATAATGGAGTATTAAGAATAAGAGACTTCACTGCAGCATTCCCCCATTCCTGTAGATAGTCAGATTCACTCTAAAATTTGCATGTTCAGTATTTTTCTTTGAAGATATTTCTTAATTTTAGTTTTACAACAAATAAATGAGTAAAGGAGACTCTTAACTCTAAAAAAAAACCTGCAAGAATTTGCATATTAAAATAGTGTCTGCTTTAGATACAGGACTTATAAGGAGATGAGAACTTCTGTTGGGTATCATCAGGAGAAAAGGAAAAATTTTGTTTTTCAAGAGAATACATTGCTTGAATTACATCTTGAAGCACCTCCATCACTGTATTCTTATTTCTCTAAAATAAAATCACTAGTTTGCAAAAATGATGGCACGTTAGCTAAACCAAATATTAATATCATCAAAAAACCTAAATTAAGAGAATATTAAGGTTGCATATTTTAAGTCAGGAAATAAGAAATCTGAAGTTAAATGGGCAAACTTAACTCTGACTGTTGGCATACACTGTGTGCGTTATGATCCATCCATTCATGATCATTTACTATTCTCAAATAACACAATACCATGCTATCGTTCTTTACAAGATGAATACAGCGCCCCTGCCGCAACGCTGTTTACCTTTACTAAACTTTTCACTATTCAGCTAAGTTAGCTACACATTGGAAGGAGGCCCTCCTTAAACGTACACTTCAGAGGCTTAGCAAGAAAAAGAGAAATGTTAAATGTGCAGAGCATGATTTTAAAAGGCCCATAACTTACTGGAGTCTAATCCAATTTGTGCTGGATCTCTCCAAAGAATTTCTAGTGTAGGCCTATTTTCATGCCAAATACAAACTAAGTTATTGGAAGTTCTGAGTGGCTGGAAAACAAAAGGGTAGAATGCTAACTATTTTTCCAACAAAGTACTTGCCATCAATGGGACTGCTCACATGCTTAAAGTTACACCTGTGCTTAAGTGCTTTCCTAGACTGAGGTCTTAACTCTGCCACTATAATGTCAAAAGTAAGCTGAGACATTCTAGCAGTTTTGAATCTAAGTTAAAAGCCCAGGCTTTTAGTTTCTGAATGGTGTAGGTAAATTTGCTTATTCAACCCAGCCCACAAAATTTCCTGCTAAGCCATCAACTCCTGAAATATAGCAGGAATAGCTCTGATTATCCACAATCTACTTTTATGGGATGCTAGGCACAAACATACTGAGGGCTCCATGACAGTGATTCCTAAACTGCCACATATGGTAGACACACTAAATGAAGTACTGAGCATCTTTGTCCTGTCAGGTGCCTTCCTTCAGAAACGTGTCACTGGATCAAAGTCAAATACGTACTCTTAACAAGATCTTTTCCTCTAGACTAGAACACTGTATCATATTAAGGAGCACTGTAAGTTAAGTGTTGATGACAGAGTTTAGCAGTTCATACCCTTAGAGCTGCCTTGTGAATAAAGGCAAGCTTTGGGACTTTTTCTACTGTATATGCCCTATGTTATACCTATCAAATATGTTATGTTGAAGGTTTCTGCAACTGGCTATCCTCACTGCCATTAAGCAAGACTAACCTAATCTGATGCATTTTGTACCTGTTTGAGCAAATTCTAATCTGTTGAGGAAGAATGGACTAACTGGCATGTAGCAGAGAGGTACAGTAAATGAACTGTTCTGTATATTCATCCTACTTGCCACCAGTCCTCATTCCTTGGCAGGTGCCGCAAGTGAGCAACTATATTAATCTGTTTTATTTTCTTTGGCTCAGAGATCTCTTTCATCCTCACCTGCCAATATGTCAAGGACGATCTGTAGTTAATATGAGATGAGGATACCTTCATGGTGAACAACAGTGATGAGTTATCTGTAATCAAGGGGAATGCTGATATAGCTGTTGACTTCTTTTCATATCAAAGGAGATTGAGCATGTATACGTATTCATCACCAGGAAGAGATCAGGTGCATTTATGAAGTCTGGTGTAGCATTAAATTCGTTCTCTAGCCAACTTCTCTCATGGTGGATAATTCTGATGTACAACTTGCTCTCACAATGCACTTGCTTCATAACTGAGACAGGTTTTGGTGTAATGACAGCTAAGTTGAAATCTGTATGTAACAAGACATTTAACACTATCAGAGTCTATTGAAGTGTCTAAAAGCTGCATCACACTTGTTGCACTCAGTCCTCTCTCCAGCAGTTCACCATGAGCATCCATCTGATCTACATGGCTGATTTATCTCTCCGGAACTGAACATTGCCAATAGGACAAATGAAAATAAAAACATGGACCTTGCCAGTGAAGAATAAGATGATGTCTCCACAGTTTGTGAAGGTGAGGCGGTCAGCCTTGTCTCCATAAAGATGAATGAGAATTCCTGTGCACAAGCTTGACATAACTCTCCTATTGTTAATATCACAGTGAATGATATCATCATGATTTCTCCAAAGTTGCTAAGGAGTTAGGATGTAGTTGACATATGCCATTGGGTATTCTGTTCACAGATGCTGGAGGAATAACTTCCAAGGAAGTCCAGTCTTAACTGCAAATTGTCAGTTGAAGCTTGATTGGTTTGGTGTAGGAAGAACATCTATGTGAATGAGATACATGTGCTGAAAGAGGTAGATCTGAACAGAAATCTGAACAAACAGAAAGATGTCTTGTTGGAACCATGTTGTGTCTGTTGGTCCTGAAATTACTATTACTGCTGGGAGGGGATACAGCACCCCTTACTGAAAAGCCTCCTTGGAAGAAATTGTTGGCACCTCCTATAGGGGAAGATGAGGAAGTGAAGGTAGGTGTGGTGGGCTAATAATAAGTCAGAGTAACCGGAATGTGCCGATATAAAGTGTGAGACCCCTTGTTCAAAATACCTGTATCTTACAGAAGAATTGGCATATTGATCAGATCAATGCTCTGTATAGATAGGTATCTGTCTCTGACAGTTGCCAGCGGTTAGTGTTTCAAAAGAAGATGCAAGAAACCCTATAATGAAACAACCTGCCCATAGGGGAAGTTGTCTATGCTCCTTAGTTTCAGAGAGGCATATATCTGATAATATATTTTCTCCACAGGAAATCTATGTCCTTTTAAGCCATGTTCTGGGCGTTTACAAACAGTTGACATAGTTTGGCACCGAGTGAGTGACATCAGTCACATATACAATGTGGGTAATGTTTTCAAGTCCCTAAATCATGGTACTTTTTCAGATTCCTCCCTTAAGTTGCCATGAAGACTACCTCTTCTTTAAAGATACATCAAGTGTTAATAAAAAGTTGATATGAACAGCTTGTGACCCTCGTGTGTGAAATAATCTATATTCTGTTTAGGTTCTACCATATCCATTACCTATGTTTAGTCTAAACAGGGAGAAATTGTGTAAATTGAAAAATCATCTATTTTAAAGAAACACTTCACTTAGACCTTGTCTACACATGCAAAGGTGTAGGTGTAGCTACACACTGCAGTAGAGGGCAGGCTGCATCCACACACACTCTGGTGTGTAGCTACAGTTAGCTGCCAGAGCCTTTCTCCACTGCCTCCCTACTGCCAGCACCTTTCCACTCTTCTGGAGACTTTGCTCTGGTGGGGAAAGGCTCCAGCAGTGGAACACTGCTGCTAAAAATAGCAGTGTAGATGTGGGAGCCACTGCTTGGGTGTGTAGAGAGTTGTATAGGGTATACCGTAGGGTTCAGGTGTGTAGGGCACTCTACACACCTAAGCAGTGTCTCACCATCTACACTGCTATTTGTACCCATGCTAGCTGGGTGTGCAGTGTCTGTACTCTACACACCATCTTAATTGTAGATCTTGGTGTGCTAAGAGCACATGGAGTAAGTGGTTGGCACAAATGCACAGGTCTGCTTTGCAGAATAGGAAACTGCAGTCGTCTCAGAGGGGAAAATGATTGCTTTCACTCAGCAGAGTAATTAAGAGAAAAAAGTTATTTTTAAGCCAGACTTAATTTAAAAAAAATAAATAAATAAACTCATGCAAATTAGTAAAATCTTAGGGGGAGATTTTCAGCCACAAAGGGCTCTTAAACACCCAGTGCCCACTGAAAGTCAAAGGGAGCTGGATGCCTAACTCCCATTTGTGCCTTTGAAAATCTCCCCCTCATTGGCAATGGCCCTGATTAAGAAAGGTACGTAAACACATATGTAATTTTAAGCATGTGAATAGCCAGCAGGCAAGTGACTGATCATTTGGAAATCTCAGCCTTCCCCCAACAGCTTCACAGAAAGTTAATTTCCTTTTTAACTTTATTGAAATGAATTTAGTGTTCCTGAAATGTACCAGACTGATTGTGCTGGAAACTCTTCAGACCTCTCTTTTTACATGGTGAAATGACTGCTCTGCTAATTTCCTCACACACACATCACTTCTTGCTAATCTGGCTCAATCCCACACCAAGAGATGCCACTTTTAGAGCTGAGATTATGGGTTAGTCTCTAGTCCCATTAATCTGGACCTTCTCCAGTGAGGATGCCCATGCGAGTGCAAATAGCAACTTTGGATTTTATTACATGGTCCCTTCCTGTATCTGCTGGAAACTGAAGCAAGACACCCAAACCATTCCACATAGGCCACTGAATAACTGCCTTGGGGTTACAATTTTCGGTCACTACTGACATGAGCCAGATTCAGAGCAGTGACCTCAAGGTGAAAGGCGTCATGCCCTCATTCCTAATCCCTTAATCCGTTCAGTCCCCTACATATGGTGCTCGTCTGTCTTTCCCTGACCCCAAGTATTAAATATGCCTTATTAAATCCACCTGGGCATGGATTTTTTTTTCTTCCTTCTTGTGCTTTGATAGGTGGGAGAAGCTCTAACTATGAAATAAATGTCATGACTGCTGGAAAAGGGGGAAGGAACTCTGGGTGTGAAATAATGGGGTGGTTTCTGTTTCACTGTTGACTCACTTTCTCTCAGTTGCTGCTGCTGCTCGTGGCTTGTGAAACTGCCTTTATATTTGCACATGGTTTTTTGGCCTGGTTATTGATGTCAGCAGCTATGAGCTCGCAGAAGCGAAGTGATTTCTTTTTTTTTTTTTTTTTTTCTGGGCGGCAGTGTCCAAGCATAGTCTATGAACCAGTAGCTTCAAGAGGAAAGCGATCTGTCAGCAGAAAATTAAATTTCACTGCCATAAATTATGTTCTGGCTTCAAGAGTTTACAAAACTGACACCTTGCAGAGCTGAATACTGAATTTATTGGTGGAATCTGATCTGACCTTTACCTCTGTGGAAGCAGAATCTTCCTGGCTATTGCAGGTGATGTAAAGAGAGAAGCAGTCCAGATAGAGGCCTCTTAGAAGGCGTTTGAATATCAGTTGCCCTCATCTGATATGCTTGAACAATTGAAATAGATTGTTCCAAATCCATTGTTTATAAAAATCTCACAAAATGACACTCTATTAAGAATGGGCCCTTATTAACAAGTCTTTTCCCCCCCCTGGAGTGTTCTTTATTGGTAAACTGAATTGCATAGTGACAGATATTTAATGGGAGTGTAACAGTTTCTTAATTGGTGTCTTATTTCAGATTATGTACTCTAGTCAAAAATAAATCAGGATCTTGTTTGATGCAGTGGTCACCCTTAAACACTTCCCATTTGTCTTCAGATAAAATAATATTACATCTATATTTGCCTTATTTCCTTTAAGAAGAGGGTTACAAATACTGGGTCACTGAGTCTATTTATCCAAGGAAAAGTGGTACGTTTTAAGAGTGACCACTTTGTTCTTTAAAAGGATCAAAAGAAACTATGTTTCCTATTATTTCTTTAATGCCCTGCACCTGTAAACATTTCTTCAGCACTCTATGCAACTGCTTTCTCTCTGCTGGAGTAAGAACAAGTGTGAGGTGTCTTCACTCCAGATGCCTGTTCAATATGGTAATGTTCTCTCATCTTCCTTTGAGTGAGCTGTCAGAGATCTCCCCTTCTGCTTGAGTGATTCCATACATCTCTTACATGACGAGTTAATGGCAGTCAGGATCCCATTCTACACTTGAGTTTTCTTTACACCCTTCAGGGCTCCAGATCCATACAGGCAGTTGTAGTTGCTTGTTGACCCTTTGCACCAGCCATTGTTTCATATGGTAGAAAATGGTTTCTTCCTCTTAGTTATAGAAGAGACTGTAAGTGTTTCTGAATTGTGCATTGGACCAACCGCATGAAAGTAATGACAACTCTGAAAGCAGCAGAGACAGAAGTAAGATTACTAGACGTGGTAGTGCTACTAGCAGCTTAAACAGCAACAGATTTGGATCCAGACTCTGTTACAGGCATGTTAATAGGGTGTAGCCCCTTGCCTGTGGGGTGTGTTTACAGGATGAAGTACAAGAATCCATCCAGTTTATGCACAATGAGTTATGCCTTGTCCTTAAAAGATATAAAGTATGTATATATAATGAATGGTATAATAGACAGTGAACTAAATCTGGAATAGGTGATGATATGGAATCCCATAAATTGTGTGTTAATATCAGACTGTTGCTTACCTAGTCCTAAATCATGGGAGCAAACTTACGTAAAAAAAGTTTTTTCTAATTGCATAGAAAATCCCTTAACCTTGAACAAATACAGTTGCTATATTCTGCAGTGTTCTTTTTAACAAAAAAAGGTTTTTGTGTGTTTTTTTTAAGCTAGGCATTCCTGTTTTATAGGATTTCTTAATCGCTGAACAGACTGAAACATCTTTTTCCTAGACACCAAGTAGTGTAGCATTGTGTTCTTTATTAGGGCCCTTTTCTAGTCATTTGTATTAGTTGCATGTTACAAATGATCTTGTCCATAAACATTGGTGCCAAGAGGTCTCTTCTTTATTTCCTTTGGTAATCAGAAGTTATAACACTACACATTTTTGCATTTTTCACTCAGACGATAATCTATATTGTACTTTTCCCACCCTCTTTTATAGTGATCCAGTCATATTTAAATGAAAAAAAAATCAACCACAGAATTAGTTTTGCACATCAGCACTGACTTATAAGGCTATTTGAAGTTAAAGCTTTTTGCCAGTTTCCATTTTCTTCACAGTGTTCCTTTCCGCTTCTGGTTTGAAAAAGAAGGGGAAAAAAAAGTTATTTAACAAAACTTGATCTGTTTGAAACTGAAAAGTCCTAGCTGTCCTTCCTGTGCTACCACAGACAGAATGAGAAATGAAGGCTGAAGGACTAGGCCAATTTCAGGAAAAAATGCCCAAAAAGGTCAGAGAGAAATGGGATCCTGTTCATTTTGTGCTCCCCGGGTGATATTCAATAACTCTTTTGGTCTTTATACTGTAGGACATAGGCTCATTTGCTCAATTTGGGGTGACAGCAGCATGTTTTGTCAGAACATAGCTGGAGTTTTAAATGAGTACGGTATTCTGAGGCAGTAGGAAACATCCTTTATCTTAGCAACAGGAGGGCATGGAAATGCAAGGGTTTTGGCAGCCACAGTATAAATCTAGTGTTTTTGAGGGGCTGACCTAGACCATGTGGAAGAAATGCTCAGTTTTCCTTTGACGGTGTGATTTCCTGCTTCACGTTTGAGAACTTGTCTGGACTGGATGCTGAAGAAAGGCTACATCAATTATTTGAAAGGAAACCAACTCTGGGTCTGAAGGTTTGGCAGCAGAAATATTCATTGTTAAGGTGGGGGGGGGAACTAATGAACTCCCTTTTCTTTTATATTTTCAAAGGTTCTGGTGTTACAGAGACACCCATTACTGCCACTGTGCTTAAAGGTCTGTCATGGCTCCCTTTATAAACACTCTTTTAAGGGGTTTATAACTTGGCCGTTAAAGTTAATTCTGAGACTAAACTTGAAATACAAGGTCTCAGCCTAGAACCATTTTTTTTCCAGAAAAAATAAGCTGCTTTAAAGCTCCGTGAGTGTCTAAAAAACCAAGACAAGACAACAAAAAAACCCAGAGGTGTTGTCGTTTTAGACTTTTTTCCATTTCCCCGGGGGCAAAAACTGCTTAATTTAGTTAGGCTTGGATTTTGCTGCTCTTCAATCTATGCCGTGAATGTGAGTAGCCTTTGGATAGTTTAGAAAATAAATAGTAAAAATGACAAAGTGATCTCTTTTTGGAAAGCTCTTGTGTAGTAACTCTTAAGCGGCTGTTACATCTTGTGTGTCAATAATCCTTGTATTACAGAGTCATTAAGCACTCAGTTACATGATAGATCGTAAATCTGTCTTGAGGGGCTTTGTGTGTGTGTGAAACATAATTTTGAGCCAATGGATATATATGTCTAGATATGTATATATTGAATAGACTATAATGCCTCCTAATGAGC